ATGCTTTTCAGATGATATCATTCAATACGATATATACAATGCGATGTGAAGTGGGCTTTGAGTTTAAGAAATAAAAATTCCCATCAAAAGCATTCATTAGAAGTTAAGACAAATTGTTTGAAAATTGAAGACTAAAGGGAAAAATAGTTTCCATTAAAATATATATCAGTTTTCAAAAGTGAAAGTAAAAATGAAAAGAGATTTTTCATTCAGTAATGGCTTTATAAAAATCTTGACAACTAATGAAGTAATGAATGATTTGTTTTACAGTCAAATACAAGCAGAAAGTTATAAATAATATAATTTTCATTTCAATTTCTAGATTAAATCCTCAATTGATTTAATTATAAACAATATATTACTATAATTACAGTAAAAAAGCTCATATTTTTATGAACAATGATTTTGTAAAAGGACTTTAAAAGCCAAAAGTGAATTACAGTAATAGTTAATACCAGTAATCACAACAACTTTCTCTCCATATGTGAGTTGCGCTCAAACTCACTGTTTATTGCCATTAAAAGTAATGTGAAAATAGTGAACAAAACAAAACATATTAATACAATTTTTTGAATTATTGGGTAAATCATTGCTTTAATAGAAAATAGTTTATCGGGAACTTTATTTTATTATATCCGACAAAACAAAAATATATAACGAATTGCGAGAAAAACATAACTTCTTCAGTGAATGCGATGAAAGAAAACTGATATTTCTTTTGCAAGTTTTTTAATATATGAGCTCAACATTAGAGGAAGAAGAAAAGAGTGGATAAATTCTCTCTCTCTCTCTCTCTCTCTCTCTCTCTCTCTCTCCATCCTATCTTCTACTCTCTTCTCCCTCTCATTCAATCCATAGTTTGCTTTTGACATAAAAACATAAAAGTGTTTTCCAATGCATTTTAAGCGAAAATAAATGGTTCGTTAAAAGAGCGCTACTTTTTCTTCTTTGAACAATTGCTTGAATAATAATAAAAAGTTTATCTAATATTTTCAGTTCACTTTGAATTTCTTTTGTAAATATCATATAATATTCACTGCGAAGATGTTTTGTGTACAAAAAAGCAAAGAAAAAGTAGTTTATCTCTTATTTTTTGTCTACAAATTCTCGCACTTTTCTTGATATACAAGAAAATATTTTAAGTTTTAAACTTTGTTAAACTCTATGTTTGATTTTTGTTTGGTTTGAAAATGAGAAATAAATGTGTTTTGTGTGTAGCCGTCGATCGTATGTTTGTATTTAGTTTTTGATGTTATTTTTTTGAGAGCTATTTCTCTTTCCTTAAGAGCCAATCCGGGGATCGATAAGTGTCTGGAAGTCCCTAAACAAGTGATTAGCGACCGATTCGTAAATGCATTGCATTCGCAAAAAGTATTGTAAATCACAACCAAATTTAATTATTGAAACCGATTCTCACTGTTTTGCACAATATTTCAAGTCGTGATCAAAACAAAACGACAAAACGAAAGACACATTCAATACACTCAGTATTGTTGTTGTCTTTTCTCTCGCATCTTCTCTTGCGGTCTCTCTCTCTCTCTCTCTCTCTCGTATGCTTTTCAGATGATATCATTCATTACATCTCTCTCTCTCTCTCTCTCTCTCTCTCTCTCTCTCTTACTTTGTGTTTTTTGTTGTTTCAATTTTGTTAATGCAATTGGCAGTAGTTTTTCGCAATACTGGTAGACATGTTAGACGCCGTCAAAAAAGAGGCACTGATTTACTATTCTTTAGGGTTTGCTTTCGAAGGAAGACATCCACACATCAGACAACAGCCAAACATATAGTCAACTAATGGCACAATTGAACAGTACTTTTGATTTAGGAAAACAGCGTTTTTGTGCCAAAAACTTAATACAGTGTTAACAGAGAAACTTTTAGTTCATATAACTCTTTGTATTCAATAAACATTTTTCTTGTTTTTTTGCATTTAAACATCTGATACTTAAACCCATTTCTAAGTTGTATTTTATCACAGAATCGGAGAAGAAATAAGTTTTCGTCAATTGCTTGAAATGCAGACAACAATAAGAGTGAATCGATTTCATGCAAATTTTAACAAATTATTTCTTTTCTTTGACTTTTTTTTGTATATAAAGGGATAATATTCTTATAATTCAATAAAGATATGAAAAGCGAATAATAATAATATTTGAGAAAAGAGACGAAAAGTTGAATTCTTTAGACTCGACACGAAATTACAATCCATTTCTCTCTGATATATAATTTATGTTATATTTGTAAGAGAGAGAGAGAGAGAGAGAGAGAGAGAGAGCTGATATTGGGAGCAAAGTTAAGCCACTTTTACATCTTTATAAGAATAGAGATATAAGTCAATAGATTTAATGGCAATTCAAGTCTCATTGAAAACTTTTTTCCATTCTTTATACTTCACGTTAAGGTATTAACTGTAAGTATTGGTTGAAGAGTACAGACAACAGTCTGGGAGGGGAAGTGAGCGTTACGTTGAGATGTGCTGCACATCAATGGCATCACGAAAATAACTTCTCATTTCTTTCTTAATTGAAAACTACAGCCGAAAAACTATTGTAAGAATATATAGATATACTGTATATAAAACATCTCTCGCTTTCTCTCCGATGAAAATAAATTGAAAATTGAACAAAAAAATTGAGTTCATTTAGAA